GTTTTTTTATTGGATTCGCCCTACTAAAAAGAGTCCTCTAATCATGATAAAAAAAAATTTCAACATTCATTTGTTTTACACAAGAAGCAAAACAAATTTCTCGTAGTAGTCATTTTGTCGTAGTATCATTTTAGAACCGGAATTCGGCCACTATTTTAGACTTATTTTTCCATTCAAGTTATATTTTAAAAATAGAAAGAAAATTATATTTCAAACTAATTTTTGCATTTTATTGTTATGCAATGTATTCATAACTAATATTAATACATTACCTGTTAGTTATGCTATTCATCATTAAAAATTAGCAAAAAACTTCACTTTAAAATATAAAAATTATCTACGAATGTTTTATAACAAAAACCAAGCTCATATTTATTTGCATATTTTTCGTAAAAAATGAAAAGTCATCTATATTCTGTTACTTAGAATGTTTCTTTGGTTTTTGTGTAATTAAAAGTATACCTCGGACTTCATTAGCAATTATTATAAAATAGTATTTCATGAATTTTATCGTCATTTGCAGCAAAAATATGAGCTTGCGAGAAAATTTTATATAATCCGAATTTTTAGTATACAGTAGAATACTTTTTGCGTTTTATTCAGTTTAAAGGATTGAAGACCGAAAGTATTCCCATTTAGCAAGATTTACATTTTTAATACAATTTCGTAATTTGTAGTTATGTTTAGTTATATTTTCAAAACAAGAATGTCATATTCTTTAATAACCAACCAATAAATATGTACTTTTGGAACACTTTACAAAAATAAACTTAAAAAATATATATAAACCTTATGGGGAAAAAATTAATAGTTAAACACGAAAAAAAATCACAAATGAAGAAGGCAATGTAAAAACTATAAAGCTAATTGAATCACCATTCACCTTCTATTTCGTCTTTCAACTCCTATTTGTTATTTTAGGCAATTAAACAAGTTTTGATTATTTTAATACTGCTTTTCTAATTAGCGACTCATTATAGATCGATAGAGTTTTCGCTTTTGCCCTCCTTAAATATTACTTTACGATAATATTATATTTGCTTTCTTTTTACTTTATTTCGGACAGGGTTTTTTTTTAATTTATACTGTTACATTCCCCAGAAATAAAATTCTTATCTTCATGGTTTTAAAACGTTTAACTAATACTCAATTTAAAGTAAATTATGAACTTTATTTTCCCTTAATAGATTCATTGTTCATTGATATTATGTCTTTGAGAATGATATTGATTTATAAAAAAAAAGAATTTCCTTTCATTTATCGCCTCAAATTTATTCGTTTATTTTATCATCTAATATTTTTTAGAAACATAAATTTGACTGTTTGTGTATAATACCCGAATACAAAAATTCAGCAAAATTTTTGAATTTATTGATATTTTCAAAATGTAACTTTGAAAACGACTTATGAATGCTTTTATTCATGAACTAAAAATAATTCTACAAGTTTTTGGTGCATGCTTTGCAATATTTCTAATATGCAAGAACAATTCTGAAATGTACAGATCAATTTTATTTTCTCTCTATATGTATGCACAAATTTCTGAAAAAAGTAATGACATTTTTTATTAAAAATTAGGAAAGATCTTTTAAATTTTGCTTAAAGGTTTCATAAGGTATCAAGTGCTACGATGCAATGAACGGAAAACGGTTACCAAAATTTTTGTTTGATATTAATCTAACAAAAAGCAAAAACTAAGCAAAAATACAACTGAAAATCGTGATTGAACTATATTTCACTTAATAAAATCCAAATTTTAATTTATTATTGAATAAGTAACCATAATGAAGAGGCAAATAAAAGAAAACATCAAAAATCTCATTCCGACAGTTTTTATAAATATTAGAAATTGTTTTCTTTAGAAGACGATATTTTAATCTTTTAAAATAATTTTAAGTCAAAACTTATCTTATTTTAATATAGCAAGCAAACAAGCAACATTTGTTAAAGTAAATTAAGCAATTTAAAATTGTTAAGAAAATACCATTTTATATGATAAATTATATGATATTTAAACGATTATTTTTTAAATTATTTTTTATATTATTGGGACAAATGACAGAAAGTCAATAATTTCAATAATGTATCATCCTAATCATGCTAATAATAAAAAACTTTTATCTCCTTAAAATTATAATTTTTATTTAGGTAAAATTTACGATAAAATCTGGTTTTATAATATGTGATAAAATTTGGTAATTGTGGTAGAGATTTGTAAATTCAGCATGGTATAAAACACATTTATTCAGTTAAATTGACATTTCAGTTTTGTATTTTTTTATTAAATGGGTAATAAGAACTACAATTTATAAAACCAGAATTTCCGGTAATTCATTACAATATAAACGGAAAAATTACCAAATAAATGGTTTAAATACCATATATTTTGGCTTTTAACACTAGAATTTTGGTTTTCTTTACCAGAAATGTCTTTATCATGCATACTGTAATTTTACTAAAAAAAATTTTCTCCGTGTATCATTAAATATTTGTTTAACTGATTCATACATTCATTTCATAGTTAAAAATTTAAAAAACAGGCTGAACTTGTTGCTTTATGTTGCGATTAAACAGAGTCTTCTTGAATTTTTATCTCTTATATCATATATCTTTTTATCTTATTATCTTTATTTTTTTCTATATTCTGAAACTTTTCAGAAACATGGAAACGGAAATCTCATTCAAAAATATTTGTCAAATAATGACTTAAACCGTTCTGGAAATTAATTCTAGTAATCAATTACAAACTACTGTTTTTTAATTTATTTATTCTGCATAATGAAAGCAGCTTAAAACTTCCAATACTTCAACCTGAGAGACAAAAAAAAATTTATATAAGCCTGATTTAACTTGAGTATTACCAAAGTTATTCCATCTCATCCTTTGAAGAGGTTGTTTGTTTTTAATTAGAATCCTTTAAGAAGAGAAAAGAAATTATTCAGACAGACATCTCGGATAATCCAACATCATTTGCATAATTGGCGCGTTTCCCTCCCTCTCTCCTTCAATTAATAGAAGTGCTTATCATTCTGGAGGAGTGTAAAGAAAGTGATTTTAAAGAAATATTTCTCTTCAAATCTTTTACTTAATGATTAAATTATAGGAAAAATAAGTTAAATGAGAAAAAATATCTTTTTAAAACCGTTACGCTTCAGAAAAAAATTGTTCTGATTGAATTTCTATCTTCTATTCAGTTTTTACAATGTTTTAATCCTTACATTAAGTTAAGCTAGAGAAAAAAGACGAACATATTATAGATACTTTTTTAGAGTGATTAAATACCTTAAGTGATTGATAAATTAATTCCTTAAAAGTATAAGTTGTAATATCATTTTAATTGAATTAAGGTTTAGATTTAGTAATAAAAACTCGTTAAACCATGATGAGATCTTTGGTAACCATTATGGGTCAAGATGGTGAGCAATAAAATAAGTAAAACGCAAAAGCTGAATAAGTACAAAACCATTGCAATCTTTAAAAAAAAATTCTGAAAAGTATTTCAAAATGATGCTGATTGAAAACTGGGGGAAGATTAAAAGGGGATGTTTTATGCATACTCAGAGTAACTGAGGTACAGAAAAAGATTATGCTTTTCAATTAAAAAATTTATTAAAAACTGGAAGGAACCACTTCATTTTCTGCGTTCTACTTAGAAATTTCAGACAATTTTTTTGACACCAAGTGTAAAAATATCTTATCAAAACTGACTGGAAAAATCTAAGACATTGTCTTTTACTGACATCAGAGCATTCTAAATGAACTATTTTGTTCAGGGTCTTAGAGTTTCTTCGCAAGACTGTTCCATATTGTTGCTGCCAATTGCTATTTTGAAAAACAATGTTTAACAGATTTTCCACGTAGGCAACGTCATCTGTTAAAACCAATTTTAGAACTTGATATGACTGAAAACTGATTTCTTAGTCGAACGACGTAAACAACTACTTATCTGACCCTACATTTCACTTTGATTACTTTTCTTTCACTCCTAAGACTGCAGCAATTGTCTTGCATTACACTGATTTCTTTTTCGATTTTTTACATTATTTTTTTCAAATTGCAGAAATTGTGTATTTATGTGCTTTTTGTGGTACATTAATACAAAAAATTTGAGATTTCCCAGTTAAGTATCTTAGATAAATTGATAGTTTATCAACTGAACTATATTTAAACAAAACCTTTTCATGCAAGTATTTCAGTATCTACTTTCACATAACTATGGAACTTCACTTTCAGAAATAAAACTCTCACTTTTGAAGATTCAACAATTATTAAGTTGTATTTCGTTAATTATGAGAATCATTTCGTCACCAAATCATCTGATTTGTAACGAAACGCAAACTATCAAATATATGACGATAATATTTCAACTACTCAACCCAGAACCTTATTGCAGTGCATTGTGGGAGATTGTTAAGTATAATAATGATTAGAGTATAGAAACTAGAACAACGAAACAAGCCAACCGTCTTGTATGGTGGTCAAGGAGTTAGCCACAAGGATCCCGGGCTCAAATCCTACTTTGAGCATGGATGAAATTTTTCTCTCTCTTTTCCAACTGTCCTTATGTTGTTGGGGCAACATTCAGAGGGCACCATACAGCAGAATGGTTAATAATAAAAATGAAAAACTATATCACCCTTTAGATATCATAAGGTACTACGAGTGCCGCATGGTATTTTTCTTTTGTAAGAAAATAGGATGATGAAACATTTCTATACTTTTGACTAAATTTTTTACCTCGAAGAATAGACGATTCTTCGTCACTTTGACGAAATATTAACTCGGAGCCTATACCATGAAACGGTTTCGTCAAAAACGAAAATAATTTCGCAAAACTTAACTGTCCATTTTCCACAGCGTTAAAGTATCTAAATATCAATCAAACAACTAAAACATTGAGATCCTAAATTGATTTAAAATTGACTTAATGAACTAAATTGATTTAAATGAAGTAATACTCTTTATTAAACTCATTATATTTTCTATTCCTAACATTTCAGGTCAACAGGCAGAACTAAAATCCCTTTCCATTCGAGAATTACTGCCTTCAACTGAGTATTACATGACATATGATGGCTCAACGACGATGCCAGGATGTCATGAAACAGTGACGTGGATTGTCATGAACAAACCTATATACATCACTAAACAGCAGGTAAGTTGTAGACTTTGACCACCCTTTTTTAAATTATATGCAACGCTGAATTTAAAAAAGGGTGGTGACTAGTTTTTTTTTCAACGATATTATCTATGAAGATTTCAGTACGGGGTAGTAATATATATAAATACAGAAGATACATATATATATATTACTACCCCGTACTGAAATCTTCATAGATAATATCGTTGAATAACCGGATGTCTTTAAAATCACTAGCAGTTTAAAAAATAAATTATTGACAAGCACTCTCTATTGCGTTCTGCATAAGAAACTAGTCACTTTTTTCAAAAAGTTTAATTATAAAGATAATCAATAGATGGCACACTCCTAGCTGAAAGAAACTTAGAAACAATGATTTCAAAATAACCACCATCGTGATTTAGTCAGAGGAACGATAAAAAAATATTGTTTTTTAGTTTGGGCAATCAACAGCACCCCTTTTTGATGATCTTATTGAAACTAATTTTTAAATTTAATCGAAATAAAATTTGGTTTTTAAAGCAAAACTCTACAAACTGCACTACTTTCTTTTTCTGTAATTTATCATCGCTAAATTTTTGAAACACTTATGAAGATGAATTTTCTTTTTTACAAATTTTTACGTAACTTTTGTATAAACATCAAATTTCATTTCAAAATAAGTATTAACAAATGCAATAAATATTTTATGCATAGCATAAACCTAAGTAAAATTATAAATTATATTAATGTTCGCGTTGGACAAACCAGTCTAGATTTTTTTATGACTAATTGATAAAAACCTTCCGAAATTTCAATTAGCTGAAAAAAGTAGTAATTTTTGTTTGTGAGGTTTTCAAAACGTTTGCAATTTGTATTCACAACAGGTGTATAATTCCTCATAAAATTTTAGCAACTATCTAGTAGAAAAGTGGTCAATATTTTGATTGATACTACATTCTATTCGGAAATAAGTTCCTTGTAAAATATTAAATATATAACTTGTAAAATATGAAATTGTCATTAGACACAGAGAACTGGTTGAAATTATATCACTGTAGCTACTAGGGTAAATAGGGTTAAAGTTTGATTGACCATACTTTCAACTTGGCATAAAAATTGGCTATAAAATTTGCTTGTAGGAATCAGAAGATGATTAAAACTTTTATCGTCATTAATCATGAAACTCCATTTGAAGTTTGAGCAATCCAGCTAGTCGAAATTTTAATTACCAATGGAAAAAGTCTACTATAAACAGACAGAAAACATTTTATGCTCGTATTGACATCAAACTCAGAACTCAAGATGATATTTAAGCAGTCTAGCTACCAGGATTATGAACAAAGTTTTGATTGATGAATAAATGCCATTTGGTATTAGTATCGCAATAAATTATACTTATAGCAGTCATTATATAATTTAAGCTTGAGAACTTTTGAACTTTTATAGACTAGAGATTAACTTTTATAGATTAATATAATAACAAAACGTTTTGTTCATAGTAGTCAGTAGTCAGAAAACGATTAAAATTTGTAACATCATCCCACGTAGAGCACAAGTTAAAGTTTGAGCTCTCAAGTTAGTTCAAAAGTGGTCGGAATTCCATTGACTGAAAGTGGTCGAAATTCAATTGACAGAAAGTTCTCTTTGAGATAATATCGAGATGCATTCTACATATAGCCGTCAGGAAGCAATTAAAACGTGCTTTGTCATCAGTTTTTTAGCTCCATTAAAGATTTGAGTGCTCTAGCTATTCAGAAAAAGATTGAAAATTTTGGTTTACAAGTTTCCACCTTCACACATATGAAAGGCAGTTGAAAAAAAGCCATAAAGTAGTTTAAACCTCTTTTTATTTAAAAAAAGAAACATCTTTTCTTTATTTAAAAAATTATGAACGAATATCCTGCAAATATTATTAGTCGTCAAAAATATTTTAAAAATATTAATTCGTCCTGCACTTAGTAATCACATTTTAAAATTTTGTAACTAATATAATCTGTCTTAATGAAGTGCAAAAATTATAAACTATTAGTTATAAAAAAAACTTGTGCCTAACTTAAACCTGATTAATTATATAAAGGATGTAATGCAAAACAGACACTCTGCTTTAATGTCAAACATTTTGTTATAGAAAAAAATTTATAAAAGAAATGATATATTTACAATATTATAGTATTTGGGGTATCGTTTACTCATTTTATACATAGTACGCCAAGAAAATATACCACTCTGAATAACTTTTGATCTAATGGTCAGGTCTTTACGTTCTAGGACACAATCGTAATAAATCAAGAGGGTTTCCTCTAGTGTTCTAATTAATTAGTGCAGGCGTTACTTTGAGTTATGAAATCAAACACAAGCAATCAAACACGCGTACTTTTTTTGAAATAACATATCTTTTTTCGAAGGTATGGTAGAAAAAAAGACTTCCAAATAATATACGCATGCTTATAAGCAGCAGACAACTACACAGTTCCGAATAGTTCTCAAAGTCATTCTATTAACTAGACTCGAAGTCGAAAAAATTGGAGAATAATAAGTAAGTACACAAGAATACGTATATAAAGCAACAAGTAATCTTTTCACTTTTTTTAGTAAGTATAAATATTAATGCTATCTTTTTTCATTAATGTATACTGTACAGTGAGATAAAGAAAAATGAACCACTCTGAATAACTTTTGATCTAATGATCGGTTGTTCAAGTTCTTGAACTCGATCTTAATAATTTAAGGGGGTGACCTCAAATATGCTAATCAATCGGTGAAGACGATGTTTCAAGTTACGAAATCAGACACAAAAACATATTTTTTCAAAATAAACTTATCCTTCTTTCAACGTATTTAGATTTCTGTCCTCCAAAATATGGGTGTTTGCCGCTATCTAAAAAATATGGCAACCATAGTTCAGTCAAAAGAGCGATCCTAGGTTTGGACCCCTTAATGTTATTATTACTTTTGCGTATCTGATCATATTTCAAGAACTTTTTAAGCGAACCGAAAAATTTGTGCAAAATTCGTATATCCGAAGATAAACCCATGCAAATAAAGAATTTTATTAACCTTTTAATTCAGTTCTTATTATTTTAATTAACAATAATCAAAAAAAAAATTTAAAGTGTAAGGTATGCAATTTCTTATATAATTTTAAAGTATGTACTATTTTAAAGTATAATGTATAATTTTAAAGTAAGTACTTTTACATGGCGAATTACAAAATTTGAGTGAAATTGGTTGAATAGTTTCTGAGAAATTGAATTATAAATACACGACTTCCTTAGAATTTGATTTCTCAGGAACTATTAGATCGATTTCTCAAATTTTGCATTTTTCCATGAAAATTACATACTTTAAAATGATGTAAAAAATTGCTCACCTTAGAATACAAAACTTTTTTGGCTATTATTAAATGAAATAATAAAAATGAATAAACAGTTACTAATATTTATTTATTGCACGGAATTATCCTTGGATAAACGAATGTTATATTGGTGTGCGCAAAGTTTTCAATTCGCTTAAAAAGTTCTTGAAATATGGCCAAGTACACAAAAAGTAAAAATAACATTAAGGGGTCCAAAACTTGGATCGCTCTCCTGACCAAACTATGGGGACAATATTTCCCAAATTGCTGCAATTTGTTATATTTTGGGGGCCAGAAATTCGAATCCATGGATAGGAAGATATTCTTATTCTGAAAAAGTACGCTATTGTGTCTGATTTCGAAACTTAAAACATCGCCTGCACCCATTAATTAGCATATTTGAGGTCACTCCCTTAAACCATTAAGATCGAATCCTAGAACGTGAAGATCCGATCATTAGATCAAAGGTTTCTCAGGGTGGTCCGTTTATCTTTCGGCACATTGTACATTAATGAAAAATATAATGCTAATATTTATTCTAATTAAAAAAAAAAGTGAAGCAATAATCTGTAGCTTTTTAGGGCCCTTATTTTATTGTAATATTAAATTATTGCATAATCATTGTAAGATTCGGAAATTATAGTAAGATAAATTACTGTAGGACATCATTTCCTCAGCACATATTTTGTGTTAAGTAAAAAAAATTTTATTTAACTAATTTCGAAAACAACTGAGATCATGAAATCATGCTTGGCAACAAAACCTAAAAGAAAGAAACAACAAAACATACTTACAAGTTTACCAAAAATCGTGGTTCTTACTTTTCCCAGAGGAAACAACTTACGTATTCTTATTTATTTACATAAAAAAGACCTTGGCAACACTATAGTTATTATTCATTTTTGTTAGGCAGTCTTAAATAATAAATTAGGCAGTGTTGTATAGTTGGTTATACATTAAGTATTTATTTAAAATAGTTTAAGATTTGTTTAGAAATAAAGACTTAGCTATAAAGATTTATTTTTGATGCTTTCTAAAAAGGCTGTAAAAAATTTAGACATAAGTGATGGTATAGAGAGGTAATACTAATTATTGGCAACCAATCATGTCTTTTTCGTGCAATAGCATATGCATGCATAAATTATACGATACTCAAGTTATAACTCGAGACGCGCATGAAAGTAGTACAGCACGTAATGGAGCATTGAGATGAGCTTTCTATCTTATTTCATGACAATAATTTAAATACTTCTGCTGCCTATTATAATGTTCCGAACTCATACATATGGTAGTTTGTGTGATCTAATGGCTGACGGACAAATTTTGAATAATTATTAAAATTCACTGCATAAAAATTTTGACTATCACGTGTTCTCCTTGTAAAAATAGTTAAAATTGAAGTACTTCACGCTCGCAACAGCTAGATGGTAAAAAATTTGGTTGTGCTGTGCATTCGACTTAGATACCATTTAAATTTGTTGGTTGCACAAGATAATTTTGAAAGATGATCAACCTGGTCGACAAAGGCGACTGCCATTGTTTGTTTCTATGACATTGTGCTAGATATACATGTGCTAAAGAATTTTTTTCAATTATAAATCAGCTGTTGTGTGCTATTTTTACGGATAAATTTCTATAATGTATATAAAAACATTAAAGATGTTGAAGTTCTCCTTTGAATACGATTTTTTGCACAGTTTATTTTGTCATTAGAATTTCGTCAAAATTTTTGACGATTAGAAAAATATAAACAGCTAATGTTATCTTTTGATTTAAATGAAGGTTAACTAGAAGAAGAAATTATGAATTATAAAAGTTATACGTTTTTTGATTTTTTTTAATTTTTCTAATAATTTAATCCTCTTAAAATATCATTAGATTTATCCAGTTATATAAAACTAAATAAAAATGTTCGATAGCTCTAAATTTACCAAAAATAACATTATTTCCTAAAAGATGTTAAAAACAACATTAATTTTAATTCCTAATTTTTTTTCATCATAATATATCTTAAATGTTGTCATTTACAATTAATTCAGAAGATTTAAGATTTTTCATTAAATTTTAATCTGATTTAATATTTTTTTAAAAATGCAAATATATTCATTTACTTATGGTGATAACTTCTAATTATTGTTTTAAACTATTGTTCATGTCATTACACATTTATCATTATTTTTTCAGATAACATTTTTTTTCTTTATAAAAAAAAAGCTTTTTCGTGATTTTTCAAGCATAATTAACTTTAAAATCCATTAAGCTTGTAATGATATCTCTCAAATGGTTTTAGTAATTAGGTGTAGAACAATTCATTTTAAAATTAAGAACTGTTGATCTATTCTTACTCAATTTTTCTTCTCCCCTCAAAAATTTTTTAGAAACATTTTTTAAACAAATACTACAAATCACATTCTGTTTTTAAATTAGGTTTGAATATTTTCCAAATTTTATTTTTCGAAAAACAAATTAATCTAAATTTAAATCTAATCTATTACTAATAATTAATCTAAAAACAATTAAAGAACTGTTAAATAATAAGGTCTAATTCTCAAAGAAAAAAAATTATGTTGGGTTCAAAATAAACTATACTTCAATCTCCATAAAGTTTTTTTTATATATTTTATCAATATTTATTTTATGAGGTTCTGTTCCAATGGGTATAATTTCATGTTGAGTCACTAAAACATTGCACAAAACATTGAAATTACGTTTAAAGTGAGTAACAGAATTAGAAATGGCCAAGAATAAAAAAATCTAAAAATTTAGCAAAATTTAGAAAAAATTTAGCTCTAAAAATTTAGCAAATTCATAGAAAATATAATTTTTTTAAAAAACCCTTAATGAAATAATTCTGATTTATTGAACATATTCCTGCAAATGAAAGTTATATATTAGTGATAAAGAAAAAGCATTTCAATCGAAATTTATCACAAGGCTTTGTTTAATTTTTGCTCTCTATTATAAAAGTTTCTGTCTAATAAATGAATTACAAAATTTGAGTGAANAATAATTCTAATAACTTAATGCTCTTAAAATATCATTGGATTTATCCAGTTATATAAAACTAAATAAAAATGAACTGTTCGATAGCTCTAAATTTACCCAAAATAATATTATTTCCTAAAAAATGTTAAAAACAACATTAATTTTAATTCCTAATTTTTCTCATCATAATGTATCTTAAATGCTGTCATTTATAATTAATTCAGATGATTTAAGATTTTTCATTAAATTTTAATCTGATTTAATATTTTAAAAAAATGCAAATATATTCATTTACTTATGGTGATAAATTCTAATTATTGTTTTAAACTATTGTTCATGTCATTACACATTCATCATTATTTTTTTCGAACGCATTTTTTTTAACTTATAAAAAAGCTCTTTCGTGATTTTTCAAGCATAATTAACTTTAAAATCCATTAAGCTTGTAATGATATCTCTCAAATGGTTTTAGTAATTAGGTGTAGAACAATTCATTTTAAAATTAAGAACTGTTGATCTATTCTAATCCAATTTTTTTTTTCTCCCTTCAAAAACTTTTTAGAAGCATTTTTTAAACAAATACTATAAATCACATTCTGTTTTTAAATTAGGTTTGAATATTGTCCAAATTTAATTTTTTTAAAAATAAATTAATCTAAATCTAATATTAATAATTAATATAAAAACAATTAAAGAACTGTTAAATAATTAGGTTTAATTCTAGAAGAAAAAAATAATTTTGGGTTCAAAATAAACTATACTTCAGTCTCTATAAAAAATAAAAAAGGTCTTTTTGTATACATTTTATCAATATTTATTTTAAAAGGTTCCGTTCTAATGGGTATGATTTCATGTTGAGTCGCTGAAACATTGTACAAAACATTGAAATTAAATTTAAAGTGAGTAATAGAGTTAGAAATGACCAAAAATAAAGAACTGTTTTAAAAATTCAGCAAATTCATAGAAAACATAATTTTTTTAAAAACACTTTATGGAATAATTCTGATTTGTTGAACATATTTCTACATATGAAAGTTATATATTAGTGGTAACGAAAAAGCATTTTAATATAAATTTATTACATGGCTTTGTTTACTTTTTGCTCTCTATTATAAAAGTTTCTGTCTAATAAATAGATGGCAGCACGGTCTTGCTGGTATTTAAAACTAATTCAAAATCAATTGTATTGTTTATGAGGTATACTTTCAGGTAAATAAATTAAATAAAATTAATCGTAATTGCTCACAAATTAAACCTATAGTTTGGCGACTTGATAAAAACAGTGTTAGACTTTTTAAAACATTTTTGCTCCTTCCAAATATTGCAAAAGTTAATTTTTTTATGTTTTTGAGATCATTTTTCCTATAGAAAATTAATTAAAATAATTTAAATAGAAAGAAGTTTTTACAAATCAAATATTGCAGTTAATCATACGCATTAATTATGTGTAAAAAACCTACTTTTTCACATCTTTAACTTAACGATTACCTCTACGCTTAAGATATTGTGATTGTTTGCAAACTGCAAATTCATTATTACTTTTGCAATTATAATTTTATGATTAACAGTATAAAATCGTGGTTTTATATTTACAACTCTTTCTGCAGCTATACGCTTTAAGAAAACTAATGCAAGGTGATCTCAGCAATCCTAAAGCTCCCTTGGGTAACAACTATAGACCAGCTCAGCTCGTTCACCACAGAGTGGTTCGGACCAACATCGACTTCAATCGATCTTCGGTAAGTACCCCCCTCTTCCTCTCTTTACTTCTTTTCCTTCATCTTTTATTCTTCCTATTCGCCTCATCAATCTGACTGATTGAGCAACGTACCTCTAATGAAGCAGATTTTTCGTTTACTGCCTTCCAGCTCTCTAGTGCCAACGTCTGGAACTTTATACACAGACATGCGGGCGTTGCCACTCATTTCTAGCAAAATAAACATTTGTTGCGTTGTTATTGTTTAGGCAGTGTGGCTTGGAACCAGCTTAAGGTGATTAATGCAAGCTGTTTGTTGTGACAGAAACTGCTTTGTATGATTTCTAAAAGGAATGATTAAATTATGTATGTTTCAAGAAGTGAAAAACTATAAGTATTTGATTGTAGTACATTTGTTAAATTAACTTTCAACTAATTAATGAAAGGAAAATTTGTATCAATTTTGATAAATATCAGTTCAATAATATTGTTAACATATATTCAATATGAATTAATTAAATAAAGCCAAGGGCACGATAATCAACCATTATTAAATGTTGTCAGATAAGCAATAAAAAAATATTGTTTTAAATTTAAATCTTTTCTTATTTTTAATTGAATTAAGCAAAATAAGCATTAGTTGTGATATTTTTTCTTAAGGTTTGAACTAGCTTAAGGTGATTAATGAAAGTTGCTTGTTCTATCCGGAGTTGCTTTGTATGATTGTTAAAAGGAAGAATTAAATTGTATATGCTTCAGGAATTGAAAAACAATAAGTTTTTGATAATAGTACTTTTGTTTAATTAATATGTTGCTTGTTTATTAAAGGAAGACTTTTAGAATTGTTGAAAAATTGCAGTTCAATAATATTTAAAAAGGATTTTCAAAGTTTACTAATTAAATCGAATCAAAAGCTCGATTATTAATCAATATTAAACGTTGTGAGCTGAACAATAAATCTTTATTATTTAAAATTCAAATTTCTCGTCATTTATAGCAAAATAAACATATGTCGAGTTGTTTTTGCTTGGGCAGTGTGGCTTAAAACATGCTTAAGATAATTTGTTGTGACAAGAATCATTTTGTGTGATTTTTGAAAGAAATGATTAAATTATGTATGTTTCAGGAAGTAAGAAACTATAAGGAATCGCTTATAAATAGTCCTTTTGTGCAATTAAAAAGCTGCTAGTTTATTAAAGAAATATTTTTACTCAATATTGATAAGAGGTAATTCAATAATATAGTATTGCTAAACTATAGTAAATATTGGTAAATAAAATAGATCGAAATGCACTTTTATCAATCTCTGATAAATATTGTAAATTAAAATATAAATAGGAATAATTTTTAATTTAAATCTTAATTGCATAAATCGTATTAAAATTTTTATTTAAATCCTTATCTAAATCATATTAAAATCCTTATTTCAATCTTAATTAAAGTTAAAAACTTTTCTCATTTCTAACAATATAAACATTTATTGAGTTATCATTTTGGCAATAGTGTTTGGAACTAACCTAAGGGAATAAGCACAAACGATTGCATTAACAAGAAATACTTAGTTTTGTTACTTTTAAAAAAAATAGATAGAAAAAGGATTTGTTATAGATCATTTCTTCAATTAGTAAGTTTGTCAAGAAAAGAAATATTTTTCAGATAAATATTCATGGGTGATAATTTATTAAGATTGTTAAAAGATAATCAATATTGAATGATAAAATTGTTTCACGTGCTTTCTTTTATTTAATTTTGATAAACAAAATAATATATCACTATAACTTAAATCCTGGCTACAAAATTAGCTAATGAATCAAATATATTATACATAGTATTTATATAAAAGTTAAGAATACTTAAACTTTCAGTGTGTTCTCATCTGTAGTTCATTTGTTCAGTGGTCCAGGTCCTTTCTCTGCTCTGAAAAAACTATCTAGATCTAGGTTTGTCACAATATTAAAATATTTCATTACTTTTAGGTGATTTTATTTTTCAACCTGGTTGCAGAACTTAGAAACCATTCTTAACCTTTTACATCTTACTTTAATTGGAATTATTTTTTTTTATATTCTCTATCAATCTTTTTTTCCTTCTTTGTCCTCATTAGCTTTACGACATCAATGAAATTCGGATTTTTTTTTCCTCTCGTTACCATCCAAACTTCCAACATCTAGAATAATTGCATTTTCTGTAAGACGATGCTTTCCCATTGAAGTGCATGATGAAAACCAGTTTATTAATTTATTAGTACAGGAAGGCCACCATCTGTAAGTTCTAAAAAAGCTAAACTAACATTCAGAGGGCTTAATATTATTTTGTGCATGCATACATTTATAATAATAAATTTTTCATGCTCATACATTTTTATGTAATATACATATTTTTTTACTTCATTTTCTAAAAATATATCTAAAAATATATAATAAGGAGAACATTACAAAGCGCTTTGTACCTATCTGAATTTATTCAATGTGAAAGGCTGTTTACAAATGTAAGCATCAAATGTTGTTGTTCTTATACTCCTAGAATTTTGAATCTGATCATACTGTAAATAAACGGCAGCAGTCTGTCCATCCAAGTAACTGCGAAGCTTATGATTAGGGAAATTTATTTACCTTTATGGGTTTGAAATCGCTTGCAACTGGTATGGTTAAAAAATCATGAATACAAAACAGTACTGCTTTGTAAATTTATCCAACTAGTATGGTTTCAAAAGCGTAAAAATAAAATGTAACAGGTCATTGGATTTTTCGTTCGGTAATGGACATTGGATATAGATTGTGGTTGAATTGTGTTCTGTCAAATCAACCATACAATGTGTCTAAATTAGTCTATCTAGTGACCTCATCTATCGTGTGAGATGACAAATACTAGACTTTTGTGTCAAGCAACTCTGTGGTGTTAACATCTATGCTTAAATGACAATTTCATATTCCAAAAGATCAGGGTCACCAATTGAGGAGTACAAAATGCTGAAAACTCATCGTGTGTTGAAGAATTAGAGGAAATATTGTGATGTCAACGGTGGAATTCAAAAAGCCATTCAGCCGGTCATGAGATTGATAGATTAGCTGTCCTGGCTAAAGCATGTATTCAGCAGTTGAAGAGAACTAAGCGGCTTCATAAAGTGTTCACCACAGATTTATTGTTACAAGATTATTAGCATCAGTTTTTATGTTTGACATCCGATAATGGAAAATAGAAATGTAAATTCATAAACCCTTATCACGAGTCTTAGCTTCCAGCTTTCATAGAACGTGTTCTTGGTTTTTATTAGCTGCAGGACTAGTTGGCGCTTAAAAAGTTCAGGTTTTTAACCGTATTGGGTGAAAACAGTCAATAAACAAGTTTTCTCACTATTGACAGTTTTTATACCAGCTTCTTTTCTGATTTGATTGAATATATTAAAATAACAATTAAATAAATTGTTATCAAACCACTTTTTCGGCAAAATTTCTAGCAATGTATTTATAATAGTGATGAAAATAAAGTTGATAAAAATAAAATACCAGAAACCCTATCAGCATCATTGAAATATTTAAATATCATTGAAATATTGGTAACCCTAAGAAGCAAATATCCAATTAAATACTTTATACTATTAACAAGTGTTCTTCTGGTAACCAACCAGAAAACTAAAGTTTTTAAGAAACACACTAAAAATGTAGGGGGCAGCCAAACTCTCCCTATAAGTGCAATTTAGGACCTTTTTAGAGCGCATTAAAAACCCGAACTCAATGCACTAAAAAGGTATTTTCTACTTTTTAGTGTTAGAGGAAAAGCGAAGATCTGCGTTTTTCTTTGCGAGAAAGTAGCTCTTTTATTCCTTTCCAGTAGAGAAACAAAACATCCCCTGCCGCGAGCTCTTTATGAGAAAAACTTTCTTAGTAGTGGGCCGTATTGTAGCTCAGTTTGACTTGAAATCCCCTCCCCATACCTTAACCCATCCACCAATGTTCCCCGCGAGGCCCATGAAATTGAGAAATTTAGAACAAAGAGGGAGACGACTGGAATGTCTTTTTCAAATATGTGTTTCATATATTAGAATGTGAGTTAATATCAGGCATTTCATTCTATACCCAAACTCAACTAGAACAGATGAATGCAAGCAAGAAAGAATTTATCATCGCTTTAAATGGCCATTTCTATTCAATACTTATTTTAAAGCGATCGTTATAGTAAGTGATAGCTCCCGTTGATAATGTTTAAGCGCGTATTAGCTTTTTTTTCTAGAACTCGCCACCAGAATACAGATGTCTTTATTTCTTTCTGCGGTGCCTATGTCATAGATTATTTAAGTGTATTTGAGGATATTGTAGATGAGACCTCGGTATTACGGTCATGAATTTATAACTACGCGTCGAAAAGTTTCGAATATTATGTTTGACCTACTGTCTTTTTCCTCGGCTATTACACAAAAATATATCACATAAAGATTTTCGTTGAATTGCTTTTATTGGACATAGTTTTGACACAACTGTTCAAAGAATGATTGATGTTCTTTTTTTATGCAGCGCCATTTCCTTATGCGATTTGTATTGTTTGAAAAATATCTAAAATATCATCCAACGAATCAATATTATCTTGTTAAGTACCAATTATTAATTTGAATGGCGAATATTCTAGAATCATAAAATAAATAAATTATTAAATTTATAATAACCAGACATTTTTGTACATTTTTAAAAGCAAATTGTAATTTAATTTTTTGCTCAATGACATTTTCTTCACTCGCGATGCAAGGATGTAAATAATTTTCCATAGCTTCGGGATGCATACAACATATTGTGTTTTGGATTGATTTGCACCGGAATAACTTAATCCTCACTTTGCTGAATATTATTTTCTCCTCCTAAAGTCAGCTTTTCGATTCTCGTTCATTAAAAAATAAAATTTGCGTGGTTAAAGTCTTTTAAAAATCAAGATTTAAAGCCAATGAAGTTTTGTTATCACCCCAATTTTGGAGGATCTCAGTTGTAGTGGCTTAATAATTTCGTTTACTGAATGAGCTGAACTCAAAGAACGCAGCTTTTATGTTATTGAAAC